TTTATTATGCATTTATTGATGAGAAAGAGACAAAACTGTCTGGTTTCTTGACAAATAGTGAGCCAAATCTGTTCATGTTACATTTAAAGGTGCAATATTCAACATCAGACTGAGTTTCTATCTTTTAAGCACAACAATGATTTGGAAACACATTTACATATATTATTGTACTGCACCTATCCACAATTATCAAAGGGAGCCTTATTGTACATAAGACAGTACACTATTTATTAATGACTAATAAACATGTATAAATGTCATAAGGCAGTGTTTTAAACAGTGTAGTGTTTTAAATTTTACAATAAGACTTCCTTATGGTATTTATACATGTTTATTAGTCTTCAATTGATGCATAATAAGCATGTATTAACGATTTATAGTGTTTACAGATGAATTAATAGCCTTTCTATAAACTGTTTATAAGTCATTTATAAGGGTACTTATTGTAAAGCAGTACCATTCACTGTGTTTTATCCCTAAGCATAGCAACACCCAGAACATCATATAGAAAGACATGTCTCAGTAAACAATAACTATCTGGTAGCTTGGAGTTGTGCACATGTCTTTATAAAACTGGTATAAAACTAACCCATAAAACTGACTGGTGAGGGAAACCCAAACTCTGTTGTTAAAAGGCCTGCTTATGCCACTTAAGTTTTCCCTTTAGCTCTGCGATTTATCAGATTTCTTTAAATACTCGGCTCTTTATCCACAGGCCAAGTCTTCCGCTGAGCTCAGCACCATGTGGAGCTGCAGGAGCGGCAGGAAGCCTAATGACCACGGCCTCACGCTCCTGCCGGCCGCTGTGACTGACGGCCTGACGGCTCTTGATGAATGACATTCTCCGCCTCACCAGAATGAAACCAATGCCAGGCAGTAGGAGGTGATTCAGCTGCTAAACATCAGCTCTTGGTCCTCTGAGGGCCTGCAGCCGTAATGAGCCTGCCTCTCGGTTCAGTGGAGGGCCACAGGGGCTGAGGCCGAATGATGAGGGCCAAGCGTGACAACATGGTGGAGCTGGTGTGGAAATGAAGGAAGGGGCATGTGAGTGCTGTCAGAAAGAAAGTCAAATTCTCCAGGTTTCTTTTTTAACCTCCCATCACTGGGACTACTGCAGCTCCTGTTGCCTTCTCTCGTTTTTTTTCTGATTCGGGAACCTCTTGGTTCATCCCACAGACTTAAATTTATACACTAGATCACTAGACCGAGCCCCGCCCATACCGTACACTGGGAGCGTCTGTGACAGCATGGACGAGCAGAAACGGAGACCTAACAGGGCAACAGCTCACAGCCTCCATAGAGACTAATAGATAAACAGCAAACTGAACCGGATCTGCTTCACAGATTATCAGTCTTTTTTTTATGCTCTGTTGTCAACATGTACAGTAATGGGAAATCCAGAGTCTTGCCCGTTTAGCGTTAGCCGTTAGCTTCTACAGCCGATCACACGGTCACGTGGTTTTTTGCGCACTCCAGTTCTATAGAACCACCTTGGTTCATCCAGTTTGACTCAGTGGGGCTGTTAGTGTTTTCTCTGTAATTTATAATCTCTTCCATACTGCTGCAAATATCAACCTGGCCCAAACAAAAACACTAGTTATGACCAATTTTATTTTATCTGCATTTAGATACTCATTTTAGTCATGAATAGTGATTTTTGACCAACATCTATTCTGTCAGAAGCAGTAATTAAATGAACACTAACTGGTCCTGCTTCTTACATCTTAGCCATAAAGAAGGTGGAATTACTTTTAAATGACTTGTTGAAATACAGATTGCATAAAAAACCTTGGCTCCTTTAAATTATCCTGTGAACATGTTGTCTGGTTCAGACTCTTCATGGTCTGTCTCAATCTGCACCATGTTAGACATGAGTAATGGCTCGCTTTACCTTCTCATGGTCACACTGAATTTGACAAAATGCAAGAAAGTATATATATA